TATATATATACACAAAACAATTTTAATCAACCAAAAATTACAGAACTAACCTGTCGCGGCCCAACCTTAGCATTGTGATTGCCCCCAAATTTTTCATTGAAACGTTCTGTAATTTTTCACTTAAAACAAGTAATGCATAATACTTGATTCTTAAAGTTAAATATACTCTGTGCATTCTGGCTATTGGCTCATCCTTAACCAATAAATGTGCAGGGCAGCGTGCCATGGAGCTGAACCAGTCAGTCAAACCACAGGGCTGTGCCATTCACAGCTTGGCAGCGCACTACACAAGTTGCACAGCAGGTTGGAAAAGGAGGCTTGCGGCGAGCCCGGAGTCGCAGGAGTTAAACGCCGTGTGCTTAGGAATGATATCATTGCAGAGATTGGACAGGTCCCTGCTTGCACAGTTTTATGAAGAGAATTATACCTTTCTATGGTTTTGCGCCTTGTTATACAAAGCTTGTAAAACATTTGCAAATGAAATATAAAGTATTGCAATCGGAGAAAGCAGGCTGCATGCTCTCACTTTGCCAGCACTCTGTGAAGTGTGTGTTCTGGTCAGCTTTCAGGAATGGTGCTGCAGCTAGCGAAGTAGTTAATAGAGCACCTTTCCAGCACACTGTAGCAGATTGTCAGAACAAGGGTACAGTGTGCTGGAAAGGTGCTGAGGTTTCAGGCTCAGAGATGTAATCTGTCGCTGGCCTCAGTTACAAGCACGGTACAGGGATTGCTCGCTATTTGTTGAATGTAAAAAAGAAAGTTAATATGTGACTCATATCTTGCCTTGCTAGCCAAAGATGACTTAATGTGAGAAACAATGACAACTTGCTCGTTGAATGGCTTGGCACTTAGGCTAAAAATAGCAAATACTGATTACCATTTCTAAGTTGTGTCCCATTTAAACTGTGCAGCAGATTGAAAGTTGTTCTTTTGTACGTTCTTCTGTGCAGGATTGGGAAACACACGGAAAAAGAGATTTGTTTCCAGCCCACGCTATGTTGAAACCATGCTGGTAGCAGACCAATCAATGGCTGAATTTCACGGGAGCAACCTTAAGCACTACCTCCTCACCCTGATGTCAGTGGCAGCAAAGCTTTACAAGCATCCCAGCATCCGAAACTCCATCAGCCTAGTGGTGGTGAAGATCCTCGTCATCTACGATGAACAGAAAGGACCTGAGGTCTCAACCAATGCCGCCTTGACTTTGAGGAACTTCTGCAGCTGGCAGAAGCAGCATAACCCACCCAGTGATCGGCATGCAGAACATTACGATACAGCCATTCTGTTTACGAGACAAGTAAGTCAAGTTTATGTCTGTCTAAGCTTCCATAAATGTCTCTGATATGCAATTGCAGCCCAGAATGTTTCTAGCTGTGATAAGTCAGTGTGATGTTTTTATAAATAAGTCCAACTCCAAAGTGGAAAAAACGTTTCCTAGGATCTCAAACGTTTATGCTCTCGTTTGAGCCAGGGACAGGAGCCAAAGTTAAATGCTTACTGCCAAAGTTTTGTCCTTGAGCTAATTAATATTGAAACTGTTTTGTTTTCTAGGACCTTTGCGGAGCTCAGACATGCGATACCCTGGGTATGGCTGATGTTGGAACGGTTTGCGATCCCAGTCGCAGTTGCTCTATCATCGAAGATGACGGCTTGCAAGCAGCTTTTACAACGGCCCATGAACTAGGTAGGATTCACTGACTTAATATAAGATGGTTGGGGCTTGCTGACATGCTAGGATATAAGTTATGCTCAAACATAAACGTCTCCGGAAGGAACTTAAGATTTGTTTAGACACAGCAGATGGTCAGGAGATGTTTACGACACCCTTGCCACAAAGGAACCTGGAAAGGAATGCATTTTGAAGTGCTAAACTTTTATGATAAGGAAATACTTGAATGCTTGGGAAGTTTGCAAAATGCTTAATATTGTCTTGATTAGCGGAAGACTGCCCTCAAGTGCATTGTGAAGTTTAGAGAAGGGTTGTAAAGTACACTTCAAACTGTGAATTTTTCCAATTCATGAAGAAATCAAACCCCCCTCCTGCATTTTTCTATAACGGAAAATGTCTGTTTTCAGGTCATGTATTTAACATGCCACATGATGATGCAAAGCACTGCTCCAGCTACAATGCCGATGATAAGAATTCACATATGATGGCTTCAATGCTCTCCAATCTGGACAGGCAGGAACCATGGTCTCTATGCAGTGCATACATGATCACATCTTTCTTGGACAACGGTCATGGTAAGTGTGTGTGTAATGTTACAGTACAACAATTTTGTAATATACGTTTTGAAGTCGCACTACAGGATACGGAGGGCAGTAAATCAAGTATCAAAACGATGAGGGTATTTTTTGAAGGCTTCTTATACCTTCCAAAGGTTGGGTAGCATCATGATTGCTTTAGCTGCTTCGGTGACCTAGCTTCTAGGATATGTACAGTGCTGACATCACCTTCCCCTGTTGGTCTATAAAGTAAAAACTTTGTAAGTAGAATCATGATAAAGGTAGTTCATCCAAATATGCTAGCTATCCGAATCTTGTTGGCAGCTATAACTTCAGAAGAGCTTGTGGGGAAAGTAAAAGTGCCATTTTAATCTTACTGAGAGTTACTCCCCTTTAAATTATGTCCAAGGCACAATTTGATTGGGCACATAGTCAGGCAAGATGTTGCAAGTTGTGGGAGCATGCTCTCTGAAAACATTTGCTGTAGTCTAATTTTCTTCTTTTTTTTTTTATTTATTTAATTAGGAGAGTGCTTATTGGACAAGCCAAGCCGACCCATCCAGCTCCCACCAGATCTCCCTGGAACGCTTTATGATGCCAATAAGCAGTGCCAATTTACATTTGGAGAAGACTCCAGACATTGTCCAGATGCCGCCAGTACGTGTACGACCTTGTGGTGCACTGGAGTCTCCGGGGGGCTGCTCGTATGCCAAACTAAACACTTCCCCTGGGCCGATGGAACCAGTTGTGGAGTAGGGAAATGGTGTCTTAATGGGAAGTGCATTCAGCAGATGGACAAGAAGCATTATGAGGTATGATTCCAACGTCTCTATCATTCTTTTCAGTTTGTATTAGAAAATCAGAGTTTGTGTTGGATCACTCCACTACATCCAAAAATGATGATGGGGCAATTTCTTTATTTGGCCCTGGGGCAGCTTCCTTATTTATTAGAATATCTAACTCACTTGATCAAAATTACACAAGCTTTAGAAGATATAACTTGCAATTTAAATGCTTTAACCTGCAAACTCAAGCTTGCCATGTTTAGAGATGTTCCAGTGCAGCTTTTACTTTTTACTGTCATGGTTTATTCTAGTTTGATATCTAAATGCCAGTTTGTTCAGTTATTAGTGACTTGGTGGTTAACACTGCTACCTTGTAGCAGTAGGGTGCTCAGTTCTAATCCCAACGAGGACACTACCTGCATGGAGTTTGCATGTTCTCCGTGTGCTTGAGTGGTTTCCTCCAGGTACTCTGGTTCCTCTCACACTCCAAAGGAATGCTGGAAGGTTTAATTGGCTTTTATCTATATGTACCCAAGTATGTATGCATGTGAGATAGGGACCTTAGATTAAGGTCAGAGACCCATGTGCATGCACAATGCTGCATACATTGTCAGAACTATATAAATGCCTGTAATAGATAAATATACTTTAGATGCAATGTCACCTCTGGTGAACAATTGTGTTTTATATTAGGAGATGTTGATGGTGAGATACATGTCTGCTTAACAAGAGGGTATTTTAGCATTTAGCCACATTAGATAGTAGTTTACTGCAGCAACATTTTAGTTTTCCATTCCGAAAAGTCTACTTGCTTCATCCAAAAAATTCTGTGTTTTTTCAATAGTTTTTTCAATAGTTTTTGTGTTTTGTGTAGCTAAAGATACTTAATGCTCCTTTTTTTTGTATAATTACAGACTCCTGTGCATGGTGGTTGGGGAGCATGGAGACCATGGGGAGAGTGTTCCAGAACTTGTGGTGGTGGAGTCCAGTATTCAGTACGGGAGTGTGACAACCCAGTGCCAAAAGATGGAGGCAAATACTGTGAAGGGAAAAGAGTTCAGTACCGCTCATGCAATACCGATGAATGCCCTGAAAATAATGGTAAGTGACTATTATGGTTTACATTTACATCTGAGTCTTGTTTATAGTGGCAAATCATAGTTATAATTTGCATATCCTGATTTGTCTTGTGTATTCTCCTCAGGCAAGACTTTCCGTGAAGAGCAGTGTGAAGCCCATAATGACATCTCCAAGTCTGCCATACACAATGATGGTAATGTTTAAAGCTGAACTGTAGGCAAGAATGAGACATACTCTGCCATATGCCTCCCTAGAGTTTTCAAAAGACCCTTTAACGGATGCCTTTTATATTTTAATTTTTCTCTGGGCTACCATCCTCTACACAGAATTGAATCTTTGTTAGAACATGGCACTCTTGCCAAGGGTTGTGCAGACTGCCTCATGTCTGCAAATTAAGATTCCCAGCAGCTGCTGTAGGAAGTCATTATGTCGGCTGCTTTGGAGGATTATGCCCTGTCATCACCCAGTTTTACCATCAGTAAGGGAGCGTTGAGGGAATATAAAAGTTGTGACAGGATAATGCTGAGAGCTCTGCCTGAATACATGAGGGGTGGTAGGTTCACTTGGCACATAAGAGAGAAGCTGCAATTACTGGTCTCTTAAAAGAAGCTGCAGGGTAGCAAACTATTCAGTCCCATTATAAGCCCTTTGTTCATTCAGGACACATGTATTGGTGGTTATATCCATCATTCCAGTACTTTAGAAAGTCTCTGACTCTTTTCTGAATTTGAACTTTAAAGGTTATCAAGATAAATTGCAGGTTCTTGCTTTTGAAGCCCCACTAAGCTCATATTTTGCCAGTAACTTCTTTTGTATACTTTGTAAATCACTGATGGTTGGACCTAATTTTTTTTTTTTTGCTGCCTTAATACAGGTTGCCGATGGCACTCCGTGTAGCCCCGACTCCACCTCTATCTGCATCCAGGGTCAATGCGTCAAGGCTGGCTGTGATAGAGTTATCGGGTCCAGCAAGAAGTTTGACAAGTGTGGCATCTGCGGTGGAAATGGTTCTACCTGTAAGAAAGTCTCTGGAACCTTCACCAAAGCAAGGTATGTTGCAACACTATTTTTGCATTTTTATCCACTTAGCTTCTCGTCATCCTTCACCCTTCAAAGTTAATGAGTTGCTTAGGCCTTTGTAAGATCATAAATAATGCACTCACTGAAAAAAATGTCAGTGTTTTAATTCATCAGCAGGGCATTACATCAAACGAAAGGGTGGTGTGTTTTTGACACGTTTACAGTTTAACTAATTCAAAGGACAAAAGTCCAGTTAATCTGTTACTATTTAAAATTGCAACCATACCAGATCCATCAAGTTTAAAAAACAGCCAGTTAAAAAATACGTACACCACCATAAATGTGTTGCTGTAGGCACCCTCTGCCCCTTTTCATTCCCTTTCCTGTGATGTTGGGCGCCATATTTGCCTCTGCCAATGCAACCCACCGATGACAAAATAGCAAATGCACATACAGCTCAATAAAGCCCAATCATCTTTTACTTGAGGACTCAGAGGTGTTCAGAGTTAGAATAGTGGGGCTTATTGGCATCTAAAGGGGTTCTGGTAATACAATAAATCCAAGGAAAGTGGTCAGTTATATGTAACCATTAAGATCTAACTGATATCTTTATGCATTTTTATTTTTGGGACTAAGGTTCTGCTTAAATCTTGGTCTAGGTGCGGATTTAAATGTTGAAGGCAATTAAATCTGATTTAAAACATAAAATGTAACTTAAAGAATATGTAAATATACATGTAGAGGAAAATCTATTGTAAAGGAATTAGGACAAAAATTCTCCAAAGTCTCTCATCTGATACTAGACAGAAAAGAATTGTATTGTGTTTTTTTAGATTTGTTTTTTATTTTTGTGTGTCAAAATTCATTAATTATATTGTGTAATTTGGATTTTTACAGACCCGGGTACTACGACGTTGTCACAATTCCTGCAGGAGCGACAAACATTGAGATCAAACAACGTAACAACAGGGGATCTATGCATGACGGCAGCTTTTTGGCAATCAAGGCCGCCGATGGAACTTACATCCTGAATGGAGATTACACATTGTCCACACTGGAACTAGACCTCTCTTACAATGGCAACTTCTTGACCTACAGTGGTTCCACTGCATCTTTAGAAAGAATCCGAAGCTACAAGCCTTTGAAAGAACCGATCACCATACAGGCCCTCACGGTGGGAGAATCTCAACGCCTGAAAATCAAGTACATTTATTTTGTCAAGAAAGCAGCTCAACCAGAAAAGACCTTGAACAAAAAGAAAGAGTCCTTTAACGCTATTAAAGAGACCATTCTGTCTGAATGGGTCATTAAGGAGTGGGGTGAATGCTCAAAGACTTGTGGATTAGGCTGGCAGAGAAGATCAGTCGAGTGCAAAGACTTGAGGGGTCAACCTTCAAAAGACTGCGCTAACGAACTAAAGCCAGATGATATTAGGCCATGTGCAGACATCCCATGTCCCCAGTGGCAGTTGGGAGAATGGTCTTCTTGTTCTAAGACCTGCGGAAAGGGCTTTAGAAAGAGACTTTTAAAATGTGTCTCCTATGAAGGTAGCAACTTGCCTCAAGACAACTGTGATCCTTCAAAGAAGCCTAAACATTTAATAGACTTTTGTACTCTTTCCAACTGCAGTTAAACAGCATCCGACTCAGAACATTACTAGGTTCTATTACACAAAACTGAGCATGCTGAAAGCAGAGGGGTCAGGTAGAACATGTTTGGCCAATGTGCAAGGTGAGAGGATGGAAAGTTTATTGAGAAGGAACAGTGCAGATAACTGCCTGTTGGATTGGATCATCAGGTTGAACAGCACATGTAGGTTTGAACGAAGGGCAAATCAGTGTCACTAAACCCTTCATCACTAGGACCCCTGAGGCATTGTCTGTTTTTCAAACCTTTGCGTCTGTTACAGGTTAGTTACAGCTAACTGGCAGCCATGTTGGTTGTTGACACAGGTCTGAACAAGCTCCTGGAGCCAAATAGCCAATGCACCTAAAAATTATTAGTTCTTTATTTCTGAGTTGTGTGTTTTTTTTGGCTCCAAGATTGGACTGACCGGCTCCTGAATTTTACATGTATTCATCTAATCCTGTAGCTGACAAATCTTGGGCTTCTTACAGACTGTAAGCCGGTGTTTGCTGGCCTTTTGCTATAGGGGTATTCAGATCTGTTCTTGAATATTGTCCATAGTGGGGTTAACCTACCTCAGTCAAGAAGGGTAAATTCAGGAGCTGAAAAGGATCTTTAGTAAAATAACAATGGCTGCTATGGTGTCACAGTATATATATATATTTTTTATAAAGAAATAAAGCCATATTCTTATTCATGTGGGATGTGCAGATTACTTGGACCAATACATTTTGGGCTATATTGCAGCCTGCTAATATAGTATAGAGATACAAGAATGATACAATATGTATATTGTCCTTCAGAGTTGACTGTTAGCAACCAGATGGGCAGCATTAAGGAGCATGTTCACATGAACTGACATTTCAGTCTTTTGGTGCTGCCATCAAGTTAAAACACCCACAAACTTCTTTTTTGGGCTATTGGTGGTAAGATTACCTGTACCTGAATTCTCGTCTTCACCTTTTGAAGCCTCTACAAAAGGATTCTCGCTCTTACTGCTGGTTCCTTTACATCTAGGAAAAAAGCAGATGGAAGAGCGAGACTCCCATCTTTGGCTGCATAATGGCCTCAATCAGACCCAAACAGGAATCTCTATTAGAAATATAAGATGTTAGTGGGTAATTCAAAAATCAGGGGTCCACCAGTTACCGAAATATCAGTTCTGTTTGGCCTAAACCCCTATTATAATCCATCTGGTTGTAAATAGTTTTCTTAAGGAAGCCAATTACGTCAACAAGGTTTGGGAGGGAGAGGTCTAAATTTAGGCCAGTATAGAGCATAGAATTATTCTTCTATATGCTGAATAGAGATTTAAACAGGAATTTCTATATGTTCCATATTTCAAGTGATGCAATATGGAAGTATATTTGATTGACAGTCCTGGGGATAGCAGGTCCATCCACAGCTGTTGGCCAGCCGCTTTGTGTCACTTACCTAGGTGAGGTTGGAGAATATGACTTTTAATGTGTATATACACCAAGTATACTTCATAAGTATTTGCGTCTGCCTCTTCTATGAAGGGATTGTTTCAATGTCATATCATATACCTATTTATTTTTGTACATCAAGTCCGATTATATATTAAGTTATCGCTTTCTATAACAAAGAAAAGAGTATTTATGCTGTATTGTATGTTACTAGAATTATTAAAAGAACACAGTGACATTCCTTGACTATCTTGTTTGCTGTCTTGATTTTGCACGATAAAATTATAGTAAATATGTCAGCCTTTGGCAGGGTCTCTTTATGAGTTTGCATAGCATGGACATTGCGGTCTGTGTATTTGTGTACTCTCTCTTTGCTTTAGTAAGAGAGGGAACAATAAAACACTCAGCCAAATCAATCTGAGGTGTATGAAACAGCTGCTCTATTGTGCAAGACAACCATCGGGTGGGGATGATGCTGGATGTACATATGGCGAATTTTAGTGTGCCATCAGTCACTTTTGACCAGCTTTCTATTGCCCAAACAAGTATTTAGAGCAAACTTCCACATTTTCACAGTTTTCATAAAAACTGTTGGTGTTCGGTTGCATTATCTTGTAAGAAGGTTTTTACGCACAAAGCTGGTTTAAAGTGGTTAGAATTTTATGAAAATTGTTGTATGTTTATGGCCAACGTGAAGGTAACTCACAGGTAGAAAAAATAGAATTGGTGATTCCATTTATAAAAGGAGGGTACATGTTGGATCAACTAACTTCAGATCAACAACCGTGATAATGAGTAACAACCATTTAAAGGGTCCACTGAAAAGGTCTATTACACCAATGTGTAGATGTTGAGGGGATGCATCCATCACTGCCTATTTAAGGCAGAGTCCTCCTTTTGCACTTACACTGATGAAAAATGTTCATATGTTATATTTTGTGCATTGGAGACTGAAAAGCATTGCAACTGTGATCAGTGCATAGCAGGTGCAGACACTTCCTCCAATCCCACGTCCCTACAGACCTACTGCGATGGTGCTGGCCTGCGTGCTCTGCCACCACAGTCACACCTATTTCAAACTGTGACAGGACACTCAAAGGAGAAGTGCCCCACATTCAGGTAAGTGGGAGGTAGGGAATGGTTTGGGGGTGGGGAATGTGACCATGCATAATGGTACACCTTAAATATGGGTGTACCATGAAATGTGGCCTGAAAGTTTTAAATATCCTTTAAAGAGAAGGTTCTCTTGACACCCATCCACCTTCTGATATTCACTTCTGCCATGTCCCCTTGGAGTTCCATTAATCAGTTGGAGCCCTGAAAAATACCACTGCGTCTTCCGACTTTCTCCCATCCCTGCCCGGAAACAGCGTTCGAGTAACCAATCAACAGGCCTGAACACCGGCAACTGGAGATGAGGAGAGGGTCATTAACCCTCTGTAACCTCCAAGACAGACTTACACTTAAGGGTTCCGACCAGGGCCATCTGTATAATGAGGCAGCCTAAGGTTGTTGCCTCAGGTGGCATTTCTTTGGGTCAAGTGGGGGGGGGGGGGGGAGCAGCAGGCAGAGCTGCATGTTTGCAGTGTGCATGTTGCCCTCTTTCTGGCCAGAGTGTCCAAGGTTGCCAGGGCAATACACATCTCCCCGCCCAGCTCTTAGCAGTCTGGCATGCTCTGGCCAGCATCCCGTCCAACTTTTGGCAACAAGTCATGTCACTGGTTGCCAGAAGCTGGGTGGGACACCAGCCAGAACATGCAGAGGGTGGCAATACCAGCATCCCAATCCCCCAGCTGTGTGCACCACCAGCACCCACAAGAGGCAATAAGGCTAGGGGCACCCCTGGTTCTGACAGATGAACAGAGTGGCAGCAAAATGTTGTAGGGGGGCAGGAGTTGTCCTGTCAAGAGAACCTGCCCTCTTTAGGGGAATATTGAAACAAAGCATATTTGTTTCAATTCTCAGCTCTACCAGAATTGCCACCGTGTCTCCGTAGTAGTTGGAATTGTTCACTCCCGTTAAAGAGAGTGAAGCCCCCTCATATTGGCGGGTGTGCAGACCAGAGATGTATATTCTGCAATGCTTTACAGAGTACCTACAACCAATTACATAAGGAGCTTATAGTCTTATACCAATCAGATACGTGCTGGGGCCAATATTGGATAGAAGCCAATTCACCTATAAGCATACTTTGGGATCAGGGGCAGACATATCATTGGTGCAGACTGTACAGCTGCACAAAGGCCCCTTGGGACTAGGGGGACCATTTGAAAACAACATGGGTCAGGTGGATGCTGGGCCCCTTTTCTTTTTTCATGTCGAACTGAATTTTCTTTTTAAACCATATGGAGTGGTATTATCCATCAACGTATTTCAAGGGTTTATTTTAGGAAACAGTTTCTTTTTTTTTTTTAAGGAAACATAGATACACTCGGTCATGCAGGACAGGGAAGGAAATAAGGAAACGGGCAAGGTTTAGCTCAAAACACAACCACAGTTTTAGAGAACGCATGAGGATTCGGAGTGACTCTAAACATGGAGAACCTGGGGCAACGGTGCAGGAAACAAAGTACCGGACTATCCAAACATTAAACAATGAAGGGGCACATTACATCCATCCAATGGGACCATAGTGACTCATATTTGCACATTGCATTACACAAGAAATAGGTTTGTCTTAAAATTAGATGCATCTCTTCAGTCCAGCTCTCCGCTCCTTCACAGTGGGCGGGTTCACAGAGACCCATTTTACAGTTATCATGCGGGCACCAAAAAGTGACCTAGTGATCGTCAAGGATGAATGGTCATCAATAAAAGAGGGGACAAAATAACCTAATATTCAGGTAAGAGGACCAACTTTTAAATAAAAACCATAACTCCTTCCAAGAACCAACCCACTCCTCCTGAGAGAAGTACTGAGGCAGGGTCCCGTGATATTTTCAGAAAGCTATGTACAACACCCTGCCGGCCCGTCCCACCAGCCATGATCTCCCTCCATTGCCTAGAGAAGCACTTGATGACATTACTGGGTCTCAAACAAGGTATGTAATGAAAATGGGAAGTTTTATTATCTTAAAATTTTATTATCAACATTTTATTGAGGAACCAAGGAAAGCAAAATATAAAAAGATTAAACTTCAGTTCACCTGTTATTACAATATCCGTAAAAAAACTAACATTCCATTCATAATGTACATATTTGAAGAAGTTATTTTTCATGTTTTGGAACTGATGTATATTTTTGCATCTTGATATATAAAATGAAAAGGTTTGTTCTCATTTAATAGATAACTCAGGCTGGAAGGCAGGGTAGGCCTAGTAAAATACTTACATCAGAGCTGTAAGTAGCGGGCCCAGCCAAGCTCCAACTTCAAATGATGTGTACTGGAACCGCAGCACCAGGGACTAGGACAGCGATGTCAGAGTCTTCAGTAAAGGTTGAAGTCTGCTGAAATGGATGCCAACAATGCAGAGCTGCTGCAGGTCACATGACCTAACATGCCATCTTCAGGTGACATGACCCAACATGCTATATTGCGGTCACATGACCCATAACTGCTGCAGGTAAGATTGATTGATGATTTCAGTCAATGGAACCTCTGCTTACCTCCTAAAATGCTTCAGTTTAGTCTGTGAAGGTTCTCATTCATTCAGGTCATGGTATATCTGTAAAAAATAAGGCAAGGCAACTGGACTTGCTGTATTTTTCTTGAAGACGTTTCACTGGTCATCCAACCAGCTTTCTCAATTCTGAATGACTTCTACAAAATAAAGAAGAATGGAGCCCCCTCATATTGGTGAGGCAGACCACAGATGTATATTCTGCAATGCTTTACAGAGTACCTACAATCAATTACATAAGGAGCTTATAGTCTTATACCAGTCAGATACGTGCTGGGGCCAATATTGGATAGAAGCCAATTCACCTATAAGCATACTTTGGGATCAGGGGCAGACATATCATTGGTGCAGACTGTACAGCTGTACAAAGGCCCCTTGGGACTGGGGGCCCATTTGAACTAAATGTGGGCCAGGTGGATGCTGGGCCCCTTTTCTTTTTTCATGTCAAACTGAATTTTCTTTTGAAACCACATGGAGTGGTATTATCCATCAACGTATTTCAAGGGTTTCTTTTAGGAAACAGTTTCTTTTTTTAAGATGAAAAAAGAAACATAGAGACACTCGGTCATGCAGGACCGGGAAGGAAATGAAAGAGGCCATTTATGTAAAAATGGAGAAGCCAAGCTTGAATAGAGGGGGGGGGGGGGGAGACATCTATTGTCAGCCACATACAATGCTGTTTTAACACCTCTCTCTGGGCAGGTTAATAACACCCCCTAGACTCCAATTATGCAAATACAAATCAACACCTGGTTGTGACTAACAGATTATGTGGATTGGAGCAACATT